TGGATTATCTTAGGTGGCATAGTTTCTCCTAGGTATAGCTCTTTTTTTTATCAAAAAGTAAGGATGATAATTTGAAATCTGTGCTCACATATTTGTTTTCTGTACTTACAGTTCATGACATAAATGTCCGGAATTTTATCACAATATGTAAAAACATAATAAATTTTATTTTTTTTATTTCAAATTTATACCATTAATAACTTAAGATGTGCAGATAAACATACTTTAAAAGTTAGTAATTTATCATATAACCATTATTTTCTATGACCATGTTAATCCGATTTGACATGCTATTTGCTAAACTAAAGAAGAGATTTTTATCAATATTATCACATTCTTGCTGAATTATGCCTTGAAAATCATTAGCACCAAGTGATTTTTTTTTCATAACCCAATTATTAACCCTTCTTTCAACATTTCCTTTAAGAATCGCCCATAAATTTTCGATGGGGTTCAAGTCAGGTGAGTTTGCAGGCTAATCAATAACCGGAACATCATTAATCACAAAAAATTGATGAGTAAGCTTCGCGGTATGCATTGGTGCATTGTCCTGCTGAAAATTCCATCCATAACCAGCATGATAAGCATTAGGAAGTAGTTGAGATTGAAGGATTTCACGGTATTTAGCAGAATTCATGTTTTCTGTAAATAATGCAACTCCAATTGGCCTTTGGCGGCAAAATGCATCCCAAACATGAACCTTATATGGATGTTTTACCATAGGATGTACTGGATGTGGGTTTCCAGCCTTGTAATGTACAATTTGAGTATTACGAAACGTCTGAAATGTACTTTCATCTGAAAAAATTGTGTGAGTCCAGTCATCTTTGATGTGATTTAAGGCCCATTGAAGATGAACTTCAACATGACTTTCTTTAAGAAGAGGAACAGACCATGGTCTACAAACAATATAATAATTAAGTTTATTTTTAAGAGTACGTTATACAGTTCGGGTTGATATATTAAGATCTGGATACAAATTATTTAGCTTTGTTGTCATTAAAGCTGAAGTTGTTGCATTATCATTTTTAAGAAGATGGCCAAGATATCGACGTTTTTTTGGTGTCAGAACAAGAGGATGACCAGAAATGGGTAAGTGTTCAACACTTCCTGTTTTTTTTAGACGATTGATAATGTCATATACTGTAGACTTTGGAAAACCAGTCATTTTAATTATTTCAGAGGGTTTTTGTATATTATTATCCCATAACTCCTTAACAGTCAACCTTTGCATTTCAAATACCGAAGTGGATGCCATGATGTTATTTTGCTGCTGATAAACAATCAGGTGAGAATTTTTCACGCTATATTTATGTTTAAAAAAGGCTGATCAACTTCCATTTTAATTATTATTTTAGTTGCACAAGACTTGGTGTGACAGCACTTCTTTATGCATAAAAATAAAAATTCTGAATATTTATGTCGTAAACTATATATACTGAGTTACTTTTATTAGTTATATATTTACATTAATGCAAATAAAGAGAAACCTCAATGGTAGGAAGCATTGAAAATAAGAGATTGCAAAATTGGCAAAGTCTTTATAAAATGGATGAGTGAAAAGCTTGCTGGATAGAGAAAGGAAGTTTCAAAAAAAGTAAGGCCAGAGGAGTAGTAAAAGCAAGGTCAACTTTTCAATGAATAAGTAAGAGCATAGGGGAGACCATCGATTGAATAGTCTTTTTAGAGAAAGGGAAGTTTAAAGACAGAATTCTAATTGTAGAAGAAGCATAACATTATAAAGATATGCTACATATGGAAGTTGAAAGGGAGAACCAAACATCAAGTAAAAAAAGCAAAATGAAGTGTCGGTAGCCAAAGAAGAAAGAGTAATAGAACTATATGAACTGAAGGTTCAAACATATTTTGCTGAATTTACTTGTACATTGTTTAAAATTTTGAAGATGCATAAAGATATTAGCCATAACTGTAATATTAAAACACAGTGTCGTATGTAATAGGTTGCAACCTATCTACATTAAAAAGCAAAAGTTGTAATGCTGTAATTAGGTTGTAATGCCAGTAATACTGTAATTAGGTCTTAATGCCGTAACAAGTAATCTGTAATGCCGTAATTCTGAAATTAAGTATATAATTTCGGCCAGAATTATTCACTTAATTTTAGCAGAAATTAACAAATATCCTAAAAAGGACTCGTTCCCACTAAAATCAATTTTTGTGGAACGGCTATCGCCAAAAAAGGAAAGATCTGCATTCCGTTTTGGCTGAATTATGATTTTCGGCTGAAATTACATGTTTAAGTGAAATTACGTTAATTTTCAAATATCATCTAAATAAGAAATTATTACTAATGGCATAATTTCGTTAATTTCGGCCGGAATTATACACTTNTTCGGATTTCGGATTTTAGGAAATATGTGACCGTGTAATTTCAATTTTAAGTATCAAAAAAAAAATAATAATAATTTTTTTTTTTTGTAAAAAAGTTTATATGTAAATTATGCATAAAATCATCTATAAATTTTTTTGAAAAAAACTTAATATTTCCCACCTTCCACCCTGACCACTCACCCCTAGGGATTTTAGTTTATTATATAATTTTTTTCTTTACATGAACGTGTATACAACTAAAATACAAAAAAAAACACGATGCATCTTATGTACCCCTAAAAATTAAATTACACGACATATAAACTATTGTAATTTTACTTTTATAATTCATTATTTTTATTTTAAATTATTATGCCATTAAAAATTATGACATTACAGCCTAATTATAGCATTGCTGTAATATTACAGTATCGACCAATCAATTACAGCTAACATCTTTACAAAGGGATTATGTGCTTCTTGATTGAGAACTGTAAGCAAAGAATTCAAATAAATAAATAATCCAAAGAAGAGGTGAAATAATTTCTTCTTGATCAATACCAATATGAACATAATAAGAAGGAGAATCGTCATAATAAGTAAGGATATGATTGTTACATCTAGTAAAAAAATTAACAACAAATTGAATTAAGATAAGAGTTCAGGGATGTAAAGTCACTTTAAAATCAATCTAAGCATATTCAAATCCATAAAGTCAGAAACAATCCGTCATGTTTATTTTGGTGGATGATAATATCAAGCATCTTAATAGGAACATTAGTGGAACCACTAGGTATTCCAGTGAAGTTTCAGCAAGGATTTGGAAAAGATGATTGGTAACAACCTTAACAATACAGTTTTGAGTAAAGTAATTGGTTGAGAATAGGGTAGACTATAGCTTCATGCCAGTCAGAAATATCATCTCAAGTAAAGCACGAATTGGTGAAATATTTATTTCATGATATTTTAGAGGGACCAGAAGCTTTATTGTTAAGAATATAAGAAATAATTTCAGGTGCCAAAACAGGATCATAAAGATAAGCAGACACATTGGAGAAGAGAGTATATACTTGTTGCCATTGAGAGGGAAAAGATGTTATAGAAGTGTAGCATACTGAAGGATCCATGAGTAAAGTGGATTTAGAGTCTAAAATAACTAAAACATGATTCAAAACAATCATATACCAATCAACTAACAAAGCAGAATTGATATAAGTGCCCAACAACAAGGATAAATGTTCATCAAGTCGTATAATATTCCATTAAGTCCATTAGGTACTGAGTGTAAGAAAAATTTGAAGGCAGACAGATTAGTAATATAGGTAGGGATTATATAATCAGGAAGCAAGAGAAAACCTAAATAAAAATCAATCCAAAAACTTGTTGATAGTGATAAGTTTAGTAAGTTCAGAAAAGTAAGAGTGACAAGTGTTATATTCATGTTGGAAAAGTAATAAGTCAATAGCAGTACCAAAGATGGGATTTTCTTAACCAAGTATGTTATAATATGAGAGAAAAGACCAGGGCAGGAAATTCAAGACCAAATATAATCCAGGTGTGAAGAACCATTATCATGGTAAAAGGTAGGATCAAGACAAGTTAAAAAGGAAGAATAAGCTTGATGGTCCATAAAATAATAAGAAGAGAGTAAACAAAGTAGTCTAAAATTTTGTTGCGAGTAAGAATTCATTAGTGTTGAAGTCTCCAAAAATAAGTACATGATAATTCTGGAAGTTAGCATAATCTAACCAAAAAAGGAGTTTAAAAAATAGTTCATCACAAATATTTTGATAAACAGAACAATATGAAGGGAAATAAAGAGAAATGATTAAAATTTTGGTTTGGTGAAAAAAAAAAGATCTAATTTTATATAGCTGATTGCAAAATTGTAAGACCACCCTATGATTTTTTAATTTGAAAATTTGATATTTTGAATTTTTCAAAAACCAGTAAATTTAATCAAGTTAAAAACCTATTTATTTAACTCCTTAAATAAAAATAGAAATATATCATATGATTCAATATAAATAAATTACTTTAAAATCTTTATTAATTTTAAAGAGTTAAAGTTATTACCAAAATAGTATTATTTACTTGTGTTTTAATTTTCATAAGACTAAGTATGATGGTAATAACTTTTAAATTTTTCACTTTTTCGTTTACAACTTCAAAGCATAATTAAACTACCTATATATTAATTTTTATGGGTGTAAGTATAATACTTATGGAGAAATTTACATTTTTTGTAATAGTATTAATTTCAAATTTTTCTTTACTGTTTATTAACTTTATTAATTGAATATTGTTAATCTACTTGTATATTATGTTTAGTTTAGCTTTACAATGTATTAATCATATTTAAAATTGGATTTAATAAAATATATTTGATTAATAAATATACTTTATAATAGAGATTGGAATCAATTTTACAATAATCGAATTTATCAAAAATCGATAAGAATCGATTTTAAATTGATTATCGAACAAAATCGAAATTATTTATTGTAGCGCAGTATTGATAATAAAAGTAGTTTATTAAATGATTATCATCAAATTTATCTGTTACACCAAAAAATAAGTTTTAATCAGGTTATAATGCCGATCATTTATCTTTTATTTTTGCCAATACCATAAAAATTCCCACACCATAAAACTTTTTTTTAAAAAAAATGGCAACTACTACACGAAGTAAACATAAACAAATGGAACAGATGGCCAAAGAAGCAGTAGTAGAGAAAGAAAATTTAGCACAGGATGTTATAGAAGAGAGTGAAGATGACTCTGATTATGAAGCTAAAGACAGTCATGTGTTACTGCTGATATTTCTAATATAACTATTGATAATATTTAGAAATTAGCAAACAATCAAAACAGCAAAAAGCATCAACTAAAATTGGAAGACCAAAACAAGCTGGGTATGGAGTTTTTTGAGCTCAATAAAGATAATACCAAGGCTATAGTTGCCGCCGAAATTATTATTACGGTTACGGCACGTGCCGTAATCACCGTAATTAAAAACCGTAAACCGTAATTGCCGTAATGCCGTAATGCTGTAATTTAACTTGACGCCGTAATGCCGTAGTGTAATATGCTGTAAATAAATAAGACTAAACTTAATTTCAGCCGTCCGGTCAACTTTTTTAGCGTTATATCACGTGACGTTACACCAATTTCCAAAAAAGGAAATTTTGTCCCTCAATAAATCAAAGAAATGGGTTACACAAGGTTACACAAGGTTCTAAAAAAGGAGATCTTTTTGCCGATCATTTGGTATTATTTAAGTCACGTGGTCATAATTAATTACGGCATTTTATTACGGTTACGGCATTATTTACGACATATGCCGTAATGCCGTAATGCCGTAATTAGTGAATTTCGACGGCACCTATAACCAAGGCTGTATGTCAAATTAGTGGTTGTGAAAAAATGCTCACATGGTGCGGTTCTCCAAGCTCATTAGCAACACATTTGTCAGGTGCACATGGTATTACCAAAGAGATTGCTATGAAACATAATGAAGAAGAATTAAAAAATCCTCCTGAATCTTCTATTAAACCATATAAACATTCTAAACAAGAATCTCTAACTCAAAATGTCATAGGATTTGTTATTGGAATAGTACAACCCTTAAATGTTGTAGAAGATCCAGATTTTATTAAAATGATAAATGGATTTGATAAGCGTTATAAAGTTCCTTGCACTAAAAATAGGATCTCAAAAACATTTGAAATAGGAAAAGTTACACTTAAAAATCAAGATGCCTGGAGTTCACCAGCACATTTGCATTGGAAAACATCTGATTTTGAGCCAAATGAAGTACTTCTCAGTATGGATATATTGATTTGTTTTATGAATGGGAGATTGAATCAAAGATAATTGCACTAGTAACTGATAATGGTTCAAATGTAAAAAAAGCATGTAATGAAATAGGTATTGGTGAAAGAATTCCTTGTGCTGCTCACACACTCCAACTGAGCATTGGAAAGGGGTTAGATAAGATAAGACAATTAGTTGATAAATGTAAGTGCCTCATTACTTTTTTTGCAGGAGATAAGAAAAAACAACAGTTAAAGGAAGCACAAATGTATTTACATCGACAGTAAGAAGTTTTACAGGATAATAATGAGTTGGAAAAAGAAGTTGAAAATCTTATTTATCTTGATGTTATAAAAGTAAACAATACATGATGGAATTCAACTCTGTATGCTTTTCAAAGACTCATTATTTTAAAACCAGCAATTGCAATATTAAAGGCTTCCCTAATAAGTAATGTAAGTTTAAATATTCATAAAGAAGGTGAAAAGTTAGAAGAACTGTATCCAACAGTTCATGAATGGAAAGTAATCAAAGAAATAGTGCATCGGAGATTGCGAGAGTAATTTTGGGACTTTTGCCTTTATCATTATTACCATTAGGAGCATGAACAGAGGTGTTCAGGGAAGAAGTATCAGGTTAAAAAGATTTCTCAACAGAAGTTGTTTCAACAGGACCAGAAGGCGTGAAGGGTTTATCAGGTACGTTTATTAGCAGGGTTGGTTGAAGGTGTAGTGTTCGAAGGGCCAGATGAAGAGGAACCTTGATCAGAAACGTTGCCAGTTGAAAAGCTTGAGGCAGAATGTTTAACAGTAGTATCATTTCCAGACTTGTTGTTTTTCTTATTTTGTTTTCCAATTTACTAAAATAAAGTAAAATAAAAGAAAAAGTAATAAAAAACTTTGAAAAAATTTTTTATTTTTTTTCGTAAATATTGTCAAATGAGCAGAATGGGAGAGTTTAGTTTTATCCTTTTACTTTGCTAGTGTTTACGGCCAAGCCTTTTTCTACCTCTTTTGAGACATCCTTGAACTAGTACCCAAGGGGTAACCATTATACTGAGTACTTATTTCCTCAGGTAACAGCATTGTATATGAGAACATCCCCATCGGGCCACTTTTAAGACTACCGTCTACTCAATCTTATACCTATTGCATGATACTGGTACTCAATTTATTTTACAATTTTTAGAGAGTACCTACTTTCATAGAGGACTTTCAACAGGTAACATCAACCATCTAGTACCCTTCCATACCACCATTTTAGGTACTAAGTCTCACTCAAAGGCATGATAGTACAATCGTGAACCCTAAGTGGTATACTTTGTAGACAGAAAGTAGCAGGTATCTGTCCAGGATCACTCCTTATGGTGGGTATCAAACTACTACTAAGACATTGCACCCTCTGCTTTACCATCTAGGATGACCATTGGAAGTCTGAACTGTGCACATGCCAACGGCCTCATAGGAAACGTTAGAAGGACACCATGACCCTTAGTTGAAATGTACGCCTAACTGTACACACTAATTCACCATGATGCAGTCCAACTACACTAATCCCTATACCTTCACGCTATTGGTGATAGCATCCACAGTAAAATTCGTTTTATTTCCGTGATCAGTAGAATTGAACCTGCGACCTCACCATACTCAGGCTATATGAGAGAGTGCCGCCTTATTAATGACTGCACTAGGGTGATCAGCCCTTAGTTTTATCCTTTTACGATCACTGTCTGATGAGTTATTCGTCTTTATTTATGTTTACTGCGCCATTTAACATTTTGCTAAATTTCTTGGTATCTAGTGATTATAAAAAGACGTTTAATAGCTCGTTAGAATCGCCTCATCAAGACGAATCGAATGGTGATAAGCTCATCTCTCTGTGATCAATATTGACGGAATTACTAGTACTTAAAAACCATTTAATATTTTTTAATTTTGAAAATTAAACTAATAATTGGATTTTGATGTATTTTATACCATTAGAACCGTCTCATCAAGACGAATCAAATGGTAGTAAGATTATCTCTTTACGATTAATATTGGCGGAGTTATAATACAATAAAGTTTTAAGTATAATTTTAGTCAAAATTATGTTAATTTTTAGTTGAAATTATGATATACGAATATAATAAATTTTTTATATAGTTATATCTCTTTATAATCACTAAATATGAGGATCATCGCAACTCTTTCCTGAATTTTTGAAAATACTAATAAAATTTTATTTTTGAAATTTTCGTTCGAAAATTTCTAAGTGCTCGTATAAATACTAACAATTCCCCAGTTGCTTTCCTCTTTACTGAGCTTTATACTATGACTTCACCTCCAGCTCCTTCTGTTATTAACCCGGATATTCTGTTGCCACCGCGTCCTGTTACTTCTGCTCCCTCTGGAGACCGACCCTTGTCTCCCACTAATACCGCTGGCGCACCAAACAAACGTTCGCGTATTGTCACCCTCTGCTCCTGCTCCCAACCTTATTCCTGCCGTTCCTTCTGGTCTTCCTGTCAACAAAGTCCATGTGATTACCTCTCCTCATCATACTACTACTCCTGTTGAAACTGTTGACGCTTCTATCCATGCTCCCTTTAACACCAGTGGAAAAGGTAAAGCTGTTGCCTTTGAAGTCCCGGAACGTCAACCATCTCCTGATGGTAATGCTGCCGCTATTAAATCCACACCTTCTCGCTATCATGCTGCGGCCTATTTACGTGATACGCCTGACGCGTTCAAAGTTAAATTCACCACCAATCGTTCCATGTGTGATGAAGTGGATTGTTTGCTCTCCCGTTATTCTTCCTATGGCGCCCGCGCACGCTGTGATGGATCAGGCGATAACAAAAAAATCCTTATCTTCTTCAATAACCAAGATGATTTTACCGATTGTGTCAACTCCCCACGTGCCGATCTCCTTGATTTGGCCTTCACCCATTATTCCCCTGCAGATGCCAAACTCAGTGATGAAGCGAAGTCTTTGTTTGTCACCAACATTCCGCTTTTCCTAAATGAGACGCAAGTCCGTCAGGAATTTTCCTGTTATGGCACTGTAATTAAGTGTAAACTTACCCCTAAGAAACATTATTATAATGGACATATCCAATTTTCCTTCGCGGATGCAGTTACCCAATTTAACGATATCTGGGCGATTATTTGTCTAGGTAATTCTTTACGTGTCTGTCCGGCATCTTTTTCGAAATCCCAATGCGATAGCCGTAGAGAACATGTCGCTATCCTTGCCAGCATTCCAAAAAATATTAAGGAAGCTGACCTTTTAGAAATTGCTACTCAAGTCAATGCTAAGGCTCTTAACGTCCCTTTATCTATCAGTTCTTACAAGCCTAAACCCTATGTGTATTTGAATTTCTCTTCGTTTGATACTTTTGAGGCTGCTAAAGAGATGACCGTAGCTTTCCGCGGCAAAGGGTTGACATGGCACCCTCCTAATGAAGCTCACACTTTATGCCACGTCTGTGGGTGTTCTGGTTGTTCCCCTTCTATATGTAATCCTCGTCCCACATGTAAAGTGGATGATCGCCTTAACAAACTATATTCACGCTTTAATGCTGGTCCTCGACGTGGTCGCCAGGATTCACGCCAATCACGTAACCAATCCAATTCCCATTCCAGATCACGATCCAACTCAAGATCCCGCAATAATTCTTCTTCATCCCGATCCAACAACAGCAATAACAATGTTATTAACACTTCTCGTCCTGATACTTCTCATAGTAACAACCGGACCAACAATCATAATGTTAACAATCCCAGGAACAACGCAAATTCTTCCGGTTCTACTCAACCTCCAAACAACTCTCACCCTAATAGTTCTACACCTACTTCTCCATCCAGCAATCCTACCTATACGCTTCCTCAACATATCATTGATGATTTAAAGGCGCAGATCAAAAAGATTGCTAACACCCTCAATGCTCTTGATGAAACTGTCTCTTGGATGCAAGATACTATCACGACCCATGAATATAGGCTATCTGAGCTTGAATCAATGATGAATTACGATAACCCTGGAGACTCTGATTTATACCCGCCTCGTGATGATAATGAAAATCATTCTTATGGTAATAACTGGGATGATGAACCGATCCAAGATACGAATTC